AAAAAAAAAAAATTTTTCCAATTCCCTTTATGTTTTCCTTGCTTTTCACCTGCCAAAAAAGGAAAAATTAATTTCCGAAAAGCAAAATTCCTCCTCACCTCAAACCACGGACACCCCCCAACCCTTCTGGGATTTTCCAACCCCCTCTTAATTCCAAAAAACCCCCCCTTTAAAACCCCCCCCAACCTTGGGAAAGAACCCCCCCTTAAAACCCCCTTCCTTTTTAAACCCCCCTTTCCCCCAAAGGGTTTTTTCCCAAACCCCCCCTCCAGGTTATTTTATTTTGTTCCGTTTCCCTTTTAAAAATCCCTTTGACTACAACAACCCCTTTTGTTTGGGCCTCTTTAAAAAAATTTTAGTAACTTCGTACCCTTTTTCTAATCATAAGCTTGGGAAATTTTTACGTAATATTCACCCCCACACGGTTTCCCTGAATGCAACACTCCACTGCCCCCCGGGGCCTCTTCCCCCCATTTCCCCAGCCTTCCCCTCCACTGCCTCCAGCTTTCCCGCTTTCCCCTGCCCCTAAACCCCCTGATCCACTGCCCCCCAGCCCCTCCTCCCCTGCCCCCGCATTTTTCCCTGCCTCCAGCGTTCTCCATGCCCCAGCGTTCCCCACTCCTCCAGCGTTCTCCACTGCCTCCAGCGTTCTCCACTGCCTCCAGCCTTCTCCACTGCCTCCAGTGTTCTCCACTGCCTCCAGCGTTCTCCACTGCCTCCAGCCTTCCCCTTTTTGAAACTTTCCCCCCCCTTTTAAAAAGTTTTGGGAAACCATATACTCTCATTATTCCCCCCTCTTTTTCTTTTTTTTTTGGGCCCCCTGCCTTGGGGGGAATACCCAATGTGTTAATAAAAAAAAAAATTTCCCCCCCTTTTTGCCCTCATCACCTTGCTTTTCCTATATTTTTTTTAATTTTCCTTCTTTTACATAACCTTCAAAATTCACCACCACCCTGGACCTTTTTCCAGAATTCTCACAAGCACAGTGCCCATCGCAAAAAGCAACTAGACAACTCCACTTTGTGTCTGATTCTTTATCTTCAAATATTTACACCCCTCTCCGCAACACCCCAGCATTCTTCTCTACAACCCCATCTATATATATCAAATTGAAGTAGCTTCATCCTTAATCACAGCCATTACCAGCTAACATTTGCTCCCTCAAGCATGTAACAGCGGTTAACACCTTTTACCAAGTAGGTCACTCAGAGCTTTGCCAATAAAATATGAATACGTGTAAAAAATAACAAGGATAAGATTAATGAACTAAAATGCACAAACATAAAATCTCAACAGAAATAAAACTTAAAAAAATTTAGAGTTCAAGATGGACTTATTAAACTTTTCTGCAAACGGGATAAAAAAGAAAAGGATGACCCTGGATAGGCTCTGATTGTAGCTAAAAAACAAGACCTATGACCTAAACTGAAAATCATTCACATCTATTGAGTGGTGGTGGAGCCTTGTGAGTTGGGGTGGCAGTCTCCACCTCGACTGTTTGGATGGGTCCGAATCACCTGCTGGGCTTCACGACCACTTTTAAAAGTGTGCGCAGAGCATTCTGTGATTGTTTGGCAGCTTGCCGGTGGTGATCAGAGCCTTCTGGTACCTTAGCAGAGCTACCGATTGTGCGCTCCCAGTTCCCAAAAACAAGTTGGTTATTTTAAACATCACCATTTCTCCCAAAGGTAAGGGTGACAAAAGAAGAAACGAAAGATTTCTTCTTATCTATACTAAGTAATTTAAAAGGAGTTTTACTAACTTGCTGCAACGTGATTTATTTAGAGGCTTTGCACCTTGCTGCAGCATTTTTTTTATACAGGAAGGCATTACTAGACCTTGCTGCAGGCATTTAGTAATTTATAAGAAGGCAACTAGCACCTGTGCTGCGCAGTAGTTTTGAAGGATTACTAGCTACCTTGCCAGCCATTTAGTAATTTATACAGAAGGCTTTATCTGCACTTGCATGCCAGCATTTAGTATTTATACAGAAGGCATTACTAGCACCTTGCTGCCAGCATTTAGTAATTTATACAGAAGGCATTACTAGCACCTTGCTGCCAGCATTTAGTAATTTATACAGAAGGCATTACTAGCACCTTGCTGCCAGCATTTAGTAATTTATACAGAAGGCATTACACCCTTGCATGCACTTTTAGTCACCTCTTACAACAACGACTTAGGAGGTCTTCTCTACTTCCTTTGAAATGGTAAATTAATGCCCTTATTATTTTGAAATTTATGTTTTACAAATACAAAAAATATTATTTTTAAAAGCTCCTCCACATACTGCAACTTCTCATAAATACAGTTAAAAAACTAGAGGTGCTCCTCTATTTACAATGGTTCAACTTACAATATTTTAACTTTACAATGGTGCAGCAGCAATTACATTGGAGATGAAACTTAAGATAATTACCCAGCCTGAAGGTGGCAGTGGAGATGTCATATCTGAAGGCAATGTGTGGTGTGAATATAATGCAGAGAATTCATAATTTGGAAATTTGGAGGTGTCGGGATTACTAAAACTATTAATTCAGAGGACTGAGGAGGGGTTGTTGAGGTGGTTTGGACATGTAGAGAGGGTGGAACAAAATAGAATGACTTCGAGAGTGCATAAATCTGTAGTGGAGGGAAGGCGGGGTAGGGGGTCATCCTAGGAAGGGTTGGGGGAGAAGGTAAAGGAGGTTTTGTGTGCAAGGGGCTTGGACATCCAGCAAGCATGCGTGAGCGTGTTAGATAGGAGTGAATGGAACAAATGGCTTTTAGGACTTGATATGCTGTTGGAGTGTGAGCAAGGTGTAAGGCACTGTACTTCCTACTGTGTGAGGCACTGGACTTCCTATCTCTATGACTCAAGTCCGGCAGGCCAGACTTGAGCCCTGGAGGTAGAAAGTACAGTGCCTGCACTCTGAAGGATGGGAAAGGATGTTACAGTTGTGGAGGTGGGAAGTTCAGTGCCTGCACTCTGAAGGATGGGTGAGGATGTTACAGTTCCGGAGGTGGGAAGTACAGTGACTGCGCTCTGAAGAATGGGTGAAGATGTTACAGTTCTGGAAGTGGGAAGTACAGTGACTGCGCTCTGAAGAATGGGTGAGGATGTTACAGTTCTGGAAGTGGGAAGTACAGTGACTGCGCTCTGAAGGATGGGTGAGGATGTTACAGTTCCGGAGGTGGGAAGTACAGTGACTGCACTCTGAAGGATGGGTGAGGATGTTACAGTTCTGGAGGTGGGAAGTACAGTGACTGCACTCTGAAGGATGGGTGAGGATGTTACAGTTCTGGAGGTGGGAAGTACAGTGACTGCGCTCTGAAGGATAGGTGAGGATGTTACAGTTCTGGAGGTGGGAAGTACATAACAGTAACAGCGAAAGATGTATAGTAATGGTGATGTGGTAAATAGTGACAGTGAAAGATGTATAGTGATATATCTTTGAAGAGTTTCGAGAGTTTAACTACTCTCGGAGCCTGGCCATGGGCCAGGCTCGTAATGGCGAGAGATGTGGTGAATAGTAACAGTGAACGGTGTATAGTGATGGTGACAGATGTGGTGAATAGTGATAGTAAAAGATGTAGTGTACAGTGATGGTGATAGATGTGATGAATAGTGACAGAGAAAGATGTAGTGTATAGTGGTGATAGATGTGGTGAATAGTGATAGTGACATCTAGTGGATAGTGATGATAAGAGATATAGTGATGATGAATGATGCAGTGTATAGTGAAAGTGATACATGTTGTCATGTTGTTATAATTGTGGTTAAGTATGGCATGACAGAGCAATGCCCTTTACTCCCATATTCACATTGTCACTAACATACTTAAAAGAATATGTAATTGTATTCTCAATACACGAATAACCCGCACACAGGAGAGAGGAGCTTATGACCACATTACAGTCCATCCTGGACCATTTACAAAGTCACGCTAACAGAAAGGATATACTATAGGCAGCTGGCAGGGACGGGACAAGATAGGTGGGAGGATGAGGATGACCACCACCACGACCGCCGCCGCCACCACAACCTCTCTACTTTCTTTCCTACTACCTCTGTTGTCCTGTCCCGGTCTGCTGGCCTATATATACCACCTCCTTCTCTCCTTTCTATTAGCGTGACTTTGTAAATGATCCAAGACGAACCAAAACGTGGTCGTAAGCTCCTCTCTCCTACATGTGGGTTATTTGTGTACTGTTCCAGTCACAATATTGTGCCTTTTTGTTATTCTTGTTCACAATACAGTGGAACCTCAAATATCGAACTTTCTTCGGTCCAGAAGTCTGTTCGAGTGCCTTTACCGAATGAATTTATTCCCATCAGGAATAATGTAAATTAGATTCGTCCATTTCAAACCCTTAAAAATACACTTACACAAATACACTTACATAATTGGTTGTGTTGGGAGCAGTTCGATTTCTGAGGTTCCACTGTATCTGTAATCCTCACAAGCATTACAATATTAAATGTATTCACAATATGTTAATATTCTATATCTAATTTTAAGTAGTGTGTAAGCATTAGTATTAGTCTGCTAGATATGCCCAGGCATGTTAGTGGCTTTCTTTGTACTTAACTTTGTATAAAATATAAATCACACATTGTAACCTCTGTAAAGAAATAAAGTTACGTTGTATGTATTGTAAATTAAGCCATTGTTCATTATGTTCCACCTGCCGGTGACTGTCACCGGCAGGTGGAACAATGGCTCAATTGAAAGCCAATGGAAACATGGAACATTGAAAATGAGCGCTGTATATATGGGGCTCTTTTGTATTACCCTACTGGTTGCTATTTTGCATTCCGGCCACTTTCCAAAGAGCATTTATTAAAATTATACTTTTCAATTTCCAACCAGTATATACAGCAAATTTTTTTAACACATTGGCCGTTTCCCACCAAGGCAGGGTGACCTGAAAAAGAAGAAACACGCTCATTATCATTCACTCCATCACTGTCGTGCCAGAGGTGTGCCTACACTACAGTTCAAGAATACTGTACTTACATATTTCTGTGTTGTGGGCACCAGAGCCCAGAGTTCTCCTAATCTCTTGTTGACGGCGGAGAAATCTGAAACCACGAGAAGAAATACTTGTTATTATTTTTTTATTATCACACCGGCCGATTCCCACCAAGGCAGGGTGGCCCGAAAAAGAAAAACTTTCACCATCATTCACTCCATCACTGTCTTGCCAGAAGGGTGCTTTACACTACAGTTTTTAAACTGCAAACATTAACACCCCTCCTTCAGAGTGCAGGCACTGTACTTCCCATCTCCAGGACTCAAGTCCGGCCTGCCGGTTTCCCTGAATCCCTTCATAAATGTTACTTTGCTCACACTCCAACAGCACGTCAAGTATAAAAACCATTTGTCTCCATTCACTCCTATCAAACACGCTCACGCATGCCTGCTGGAAGTCCAAGCCCCTGCACACCAAAATCCTCCTTTACCCCCTCCCTCCAACCCTATCCTAGGCCGACCCCTACCCCGCCTTCCTTCCACTACAGACTGATACACTCTTGAAGTCATTCTGTTTCGCTCCATTCTCTCTACATGTCCGAAACCACCTCAACAACCCTTCCTCAGCCTCTGGACAACAGTTTGGTAATCCCGCACCTCCTCCTAACTTCCAAACTACGAATTCTCTGCATTATATTCACACCACACATTGCCCTCAGACATGACATCTTCCACTGCCTCCAGCCTTCTCCTCGCTGCAACATCATACCCACGCTTCACACCCATATAAGAGAGTTGGTACAACTATACTCTCATACATTCCCTCTTTGCCTCCAAGGACAAAGTTCTTGTCCCACAGACTCCTAAGTGCACCACTCACTCTTTTTCCCTCATCAATTCTATGATTCACCTCATCTTTCATAGACCCATCCGCGACACGTCCACTCCCAAATATCTGAATACGTTCACCTCCTCCATACTCTCTCCCTCCAATCTGATATTCAATCTTTCATCACCTAATCTTTTTGTTATCCTCATAACCTTACTCTTTCCTGTATTCACCTTTAATTTTCTTCTTTGCACACCCTACCAAATTCATCCACCAATCTCTGCAACTTCTCTTCGAATCTCCCAAGAGCACAGTGTCATCAGCAAAGAGCAGCTGTGACAACTCCCACTTTGTGGTGATATTTCTTATCTTTTAACTCCACGCCTCTTGCCAAGACCCTCGCATTTACTTCTCTTTACAACCCCATCTATAAATATATTAAACAACCACGGTGACATCACACATCTTGTCTAAGGCCTACTTTTACTGGGAAAAAAATTCCCTCTTCTACATACTCTAACTTGAGCCTCACTACTCGTAAAACTCTTCACTGCTTTCAGTAACCTACCTCCTACAACCATACACTTGCAACATCTGCCACATTGCCCCCTATCCACCTGTCATACGTCTTTTCCAAATCCATAAATGCCACAAAGACCTCTTTGCCTTATCTAAATACTGTTCACTTAATATGTTTCACTGTAAACACCTGGTCCACACACCCCCTACCTTTCCTAAAGCCTCCTTGTTCATCTGCATCTATTCTCCGTCTTACTCTTAATTCTTTCAATTATTACTCTACCATACACTTTACCAGGTACCTCAACAGACTTATCCCCCTATATTTTTGCACTCTCTTTTATCCCCTTTGCCTTTATACAAAGGAAAATATGCATGCTCTCTGCCAATCCCTAGGTACCTTACCCTCTTCCATTACATTTATTAAATAATTGCACCAACCACTCCAAAACTATATCCCCACCTGCTTTTAACATTTCTATCTTTATCCCATCAATCCCGGCTGCCTTACCCCCTTTCATTTTACCTACTGCCTCACGAACTTCCCCCACACTCACAACTGGCTCTTCCTCACTCCTACAAGATGTTATTCCTCCTTGCCCTATACACGAAATCACAGCTTCCCTATCTTCATCAACATTTAACAATTCCTCAAAATATTCCTTCCATCTTGTATAATCGGAAAAACTAATAAAAGTGGCAGGTAGATAAGTAGAAAGTGGACTCTCCTTGCTTTACAATGATTTGACTTACAATATTTCCACTTTATGAAGGTGCAATAGCCATGCATTTTTTTTTTAGCACGTCGGTCATGTCTTACCAAGGCAGAGTGACCCAAAAAAGAAACTTTCATTATCACTCAATCCATCACTGTCTTGCCAGAGGTGTGCCAACACTACAGTTCAAGAACTGCAACATTAA